CCGCTGCCGCGGCCTGAAACAACAACCATGACCCGCCATGCAAGGCTCAAGCAAGCTCGAAGACAGACAGAGAGGATGATCTCAGCGAGAAACGATACTAATACGATCGTTCCTAGAGGCTCGTGTCATTGCACACAGAAAACGTAGCTTTCTAATCTGTACTTCTAAATGGAAAATGTTAATTGCGGCTGGAAAAGAGGCATACAACAAAAGGAATAGTAGGAAAATGTACTCAATTACAGCCATTGTCTATAAAACTGCAAATACTTCTACAATATCCAATAAACACAAATAAGAAATTTCAAATAAATGCACTCTTTTCCAATCGTACCCTCAATTGATCAACGTCTACTAGATGCGGAAGAGAAGTATACAAAAAAAGAGTTTTAATTAGAAATAATTTAAATACCAGGTATACATCAAACAGAACACAACTATGAATGATTACATCAGCATGTGTAATTTTGTTATGCAATAAATAAATATTTCAAAATGTTTAAATGATTAGGATTATATTAATTACAATTTTAACATTAACAGAATCAATAATCAATTTCTTTGCAATTCTGAAATATTTTTTTATTACTGCACATATATTTCGCAATCTTATCAAATCTTGTTATATGTATATTTTTAAGAGTTAATATTCTAAAATTCATTTCATATTTATTTTATAAAATAAAATTTATTTCATATTCATTTTAAGTCTCGAAAGTAATAAACTGTCGGAATAAATGAAATATACTAATTTTATTTGCTAACGTTTTCTATGTGCAATTACTACGTGAAACGCGCATCAGCGTTGTTCGTTGCGACATCAATAGAACAGCGAGATGCAACAGCCAAGTGACATTTTCAGGCTTGAATATATACCAGTTAAAAAATATTGTCGAAATCCCTTGCATCACATTTCTCTCGCTGTTTTAAAAATGTCAGTGCATGGATATTCAAACATTTCGAGCATATAACTAACTGTGACACTCGTAGTTGTATTTTATACAAGCTTCGAGAAGGATGTTTTATTTACAAGGAACATGATATGGTCGAAACTGATGATATTCAATTTCTTTATGACATCAAGCGGCTATATTATCGAATATTTTGCGATAATGCAAACATTCCACTTTCTAATTATGAATCCTAAAATACAAAAACATATTAAAAATAAAAATTTTTCATCGTTTACTAATTTCGAAACTATTTTTCGTACACATCGAAATGTCGAATGAAATGTCAAATTATAATTCTAAATTTTTTCGACACAAATATTTTTTATGTTCCATATTAAACAATTTGAATAAAAAAAAAAACGAATATATAAATGGAGACATAATAAAAAAATTTCATGCAACATGAAGATTCATGAAAGTAGCCACGGTGCAAGATAAAAGATTTGAAAACTACAAATATAATATGAAATAGGAAAGAATTCGGATGATGAATTAACGAGCTTCTTGTTTTCAACCTCGACGTAAGCCTGACACATGGAAAGGAAACTATTCTAAGTGTCTTCCAAAGTAATATATTCGAACATACTTTTGCCTAAGTAATTCAGAATGGAACGAAGTTTCAATAATGAAACGTAGAGACAAGCAAAAAGCGTTAAGAAAATTCCTCATACTAGTAGTATAACAATAAATAATCACTTTCGTCTCTCTGGCGTGTCGACCATGTTGTAGCTATTGTGCCTGAGATAATAAGTAAACTCGTTCGAGTGAGTCTCACGTCAAAAGGATCGTCTATAGTTTTGGAAATACCTACGATGTTTAAACGGTGAACCTCACAAATGTTTATGCAGCATCGAAATCTCGCTCGATGCACCAGAGGATTTATGCCCGATGAAGATAGGGCTGTTGAGAGGACACTCATTGGCGCCAGGATGATGGCGGGAAGACCTACGTGCATGCATCTAGGAAGTGCAATTCGATACACCAACGTATATATATCCCATTACGCGATAACGTAACACTAGCGCACTCAGATGCTCGCGATTTCCATGACATTACCATTCGCGCGTTTGACCTAAACCCGAATGCAGTTTGCTCGAACACTATCGTGTCATCAGTGCTCCCTAAAAGCCTGGGAGGATTAAGTCCCGTTTTAAGCTCGATTGTCGGACCACATCGTTAATTTATTGTAATACATTATCATACGTAATCTTGCGCAATATTACAGAAGACACACTGGGTGTATTCTTTTATAAATAATATTTATACACTAATTATAGCCGAGTATTATATATATACATATATATATATATATATATTATTAATAAATAATGAGCAGAGAATAATATATATAATAACAAAGTTACATCTATATTATACTACATGAATGATAAAATTCGTTTTTTTCATAGATTTTAATTAAATTTTTATGTAACCAAATATTTTACAATAAAAAATAAGATTAAAGAGTAATTAATAAAAAAAAATCGCCGGGTGTGTAAACATATTTACTAATAAATCTGAATTCTATGTAAATTATTCCATGTAATTGCTAATATATTATATATAATTTAATGTTGACCTATTCGACGAAACTTCAGTTAAATATTAAATAGATGAATTATCATTTTATTACTTCAATAACACAAAGAACGACGATGCAAAAGGAATATTACAGCACTGCCAGTCATAATTTCGAAACGTCGAGCATTATTATACTGTCCGTACTAATAAGTAAAATCCGTTATTTCGTTATTAATAAAAGAAAAAGACGCGAGATATATTCCAGAAATTTGTAGATATTAAATCTAGGTAATTGCTCGTAGAATTGTAAAAGAATGTCATAATCCGAGCATTGTCCATTGCTCGCGCAAATCAATAAATTATTGCAAGCTTAATAAAAAACCGATAATATGAAAAAAGTCCAACAATTTTAAAACATGTTAACCTACAATTTGTTACAAAATTTGAAATCAACTTTTACCGAGTAAAAATATCAAAAAGTTATAAGTAATCAAATTAAAAGCTTTTAAATAGTTTTAAAATATCAATTCAGAGTTTGATAACATTCAGGTATTTGAAAATTTAAAAGTTTGAAAAGTGATGTTACTTTTATGTATAATTTAGTATTAGCTGTTCGACAAAGCTTCAGTTAAACATTAAATAGATGAATTATCATTTCGTTATTTCAATATTAATACAAAAAGCGACGATGTATTTTTTTTCAAACTTAAATTTTAAACGTAAAAATTCTAACTTTATTGTCAAATATTAAATACTATTGTTGGATCGTTCTTGGATCGTTCAAATAATTTATGGAAAGAATAAAATATTTGCATAATATGCAACGGAAGTCTAAGACATAATTGAAAAGTACAGACATAGGAACAAAGCATAACAGATTTCAATCTATCAGAAGCTGTGTATTCTGATGGGTTGAAATCTATTATTCCCTGTTCCTATTTTCTGTGCTTTTCAATTATGTTTCAGGCTTCAGGTTTTAATAATGCATACAGGAAATACAATTTTTGAACAGAAAGCTGCTCGTAACTCTGTCAGAATGACAGCGTTATTGAGCGTTCAATAATTTTTGACATCGCGGAGGAATAACAGCCTGTAAATAGCGACTTGCAGTGTGAATTGGTTGACCGGCTCACGTATCGCGACGTTTTTTTTTGGGGGTAGATGGAGGCGAAGCGGCGAACGAGCTGTTTTGCTACCAGGAAGAAAACAGGACGTATTGAAAGCGGAGTGAGAGGCGCCAAGTTGCTCCACAAATTTTCTCGAATGAAATTTCGTTCTCAAACTGTTCAAAACACGCGGAGATTCTGTCAAAGAGTTGCGCCGTGTTTCTCGCAATGATTCTTACTGCGGTGAGAATTACGTAATCCCTTCAGCAGCGTGTATGACCGCAATGATTCGCTTTCGAAATATCGTCGGAAACAAGGAGATAATAATTTCTCGCGAATCCAATTTCCGGGGTCAACCGACCAGAAGTGTCGAGATCGTGGCAAGAAATGGTTCTCTTGTCGCGCGCGAAACTGGTGATTATAGCTTTTTATCTCGCAGTTACGTCGATTCAGCACCTCGTTGTGGTCGGACTCCACGAGTACTTTTTTTCGCGTCGCTTCACGTCCTTTCTCGCGCCTCGTATCTTCCGTCCGCGACCGACAATGGCCTGTTAAACGGCGCAACCGCAGACTCGAAACCTCTGTTTACATTGTGGTACAGGTGGAACGCTTAACAATTAAATTCTAACAGTGACAAAGATCCTGGAAAGTAAGTTTTACTTAGCGTTTCGAAAAATGCATAAAAGATAATATCTTTCCTAATACAAAAAGGATATAATCATGTAATTGTTTTAATTAACTTTAAAATTTTAGAACAGAAGAGAGAACAACAAATATTCTATTATTTTGAATTATTATTATTAAAATATTATTTAACATATTTGCTATCCTTTGTCATGAATAAAATTTTTAATGAATTGATATCTTAACATTTTTACTTTTTCGCAAACGTTTGTATTAGCAAACATTTCACGTTGTAATAATAAAAATTACATTTCTGCACGTCTAATTGATTTTAATAATTGAATAAAGCAGAAAATTGAAGAAAGACTGGTCTGCTTTTCTTTGAATTACTTCGACTTTCCGTCTTTTCGTTCTTTCTTTCTTTATGTACCTTTTATTAACGTTAAGGTGTATACTAACAAGCTAAAAATGAAAGCCTTAATTTTTATTTATGACTGTAAAAGCATCTGGTGGATAACAAGGAGGCAAGAACATCTTTTGCCAATTATAGCATACAAACTGTATGACTTATATTATTCGCTGATGGAAAGCTTGCTGTAGGTCCGACGAGCCCTCAATTAAGCTAACGAAAAGACTTTCAAAATACTTCGCTGATACGGCATTTCGATCTCCCCGGAAAAGACACGCAAATTAAACCAATGCGGCCGAACTAATTATCGAATTAAAGTTAAATAAACATTTTAACCCTATCGAGAACTTTTCGCGACTTTCAAAACTGAATTATTGCTCAGTTGCTGGGCACATTTACTGTATTGAAAAGTATTTATTAGTATTTATTCGTATTTTTTACAGATACAGAGATAACAATCTATCTTGCATAATAAAATAAAATAAAATTATCATTGAAAATCATAAGATTAAATTTCTCTACGGAATATTTATAAAATACAATTATTATTGTGATTTTTCTTTTTTAAAATTTAGCTTTGACATTTTGTAATCTAATTACAGATTTAACAGACCAAATATGAAAAGAATGGTTTTGCTGAAATATTTAAAAGTTCAGGTAGATACAGAATAATTTTATTGGTCTAAAAAATAAATGATTATGCAGGACGCTCGAATTGTACTCTTCGAATGGAAAAACTTTTTATAACATTACTCATCATGTTTAAGTTTTTTATATAATTGTTTTGACAGTTATTATTTTCAGATCTATCTAAATTTAGATGCTTCAGCAAAATCATTTTTTCCGTGTGTATCTATAATTCTATAAAGATTATTATATTTTTTATTACGTTTAAAATAATTTATTACGCGACAATTTGTTTCTTATTTTTACATCCCGTTTTCTATCAATTATCTGTATATTTTTTCTGATGTTTTTCAAATTTAAATTTGACGATTAACGTCTCAAAAGAAGAGGAAATGCGGAAAATTCGTATAAATAGCTAGAATATATAGGTCCATTTCGCGCTGTGTGCCGTTGACATTTAACACGCGAATATCCTCGCGGATCTGGCTAGGATGAGCCCGTCAGTCGTAATATGACGTGTGTTCCTCGATGACGTTGATTTACGGCGGTCTCTCAACAAAGTCGAAGAAGAGGTTGGCAATTGGGCCGACTCTGTTACGTGGACGGGGCTCGTAAATTCTCCGTACGAACGAGGTTTCTTCACCAATGATAACGTGGGTGGTAACGAAAAAAGCACGCGTCTGACGGGATGTTAGTTGTCAAATTTGCAGATTGAGCTCGTCCAAATTAACCGCAAAAAAAATTCTCAGCGCACACGCCTGGACAATTTATAACTCGGCTCGTTTGAAGACACCCTTTACGCTTTCCAATCACGAATTTTCATCGAACGCGAGAATCCCATTTTTTCCGTTAGCGCCATTTAACGTTTCATTAATCGCTTTTGTTTATTATTTACGTGCATTCGTTTTACGTGTTACTAACCTCGTTTTTACATTCACACGTTATCGATAAAGTAACGATTTATTTAATGTTCGTTTCCATTCGATAAGCAACTTACAGTTTATATGATAACGACGAGAAAGCAATATTGCAATTTTTATGCGCAGTTTGACATATTCTTGAATTTTAACGTTCATAAACAAAGATTAAAGATTTGTTTAGTTACTTCTCTATAGATAGCGATTAATAGTTTTCTGTTATTTTAACGTCGTCGCTTCAATCCCCTAAGGCTGAATTTTCTCTTACAGAATTTGAGCGAGAATTCCTGGCGCGATGTTAAGCTTCGATCTCTTGATATATATTCATAATAAATTTCTTTACAAGGGACATGAAAATTCCTGAAGCAATATACTTTGACTTTACGACATTCATAACAAAGCATTTGCGCAATAATGTCATAATATCGAAAGTTGACTTTTCAAGTGTCTGCCAGCGATGATCTCGTAAAGTAGTTACTCGTGCGTATAATGCATCCAACAAATAATCATTGCTCAATGATTCAGAACCGCAAAATGGTCTTTACTTTGATATTTATCGGCGTTTACGATTGCATCATGTGTTTAGGTTTTATAGACATATTTTCTGTGTAAGACATCTCCTTTAGAACGGCAGGTTATTTAAACAAAATAGATTCCGTTGATCTCCAAAATAAGTTCTTGTTATATGATAGTTTTGCCGAAATATCCATATCTAGACATAGATCTGAAAATAATTTTGGATCAAAATAAATAAATGTAAACGCCTACCAGAGTCAATACAAGTTGTTAAAATGTGCGAAAATTTATTTATTACAGTATCTTAACAAATTGTGTTAACTCTAATAGGTATTATACATTTATTGATTTATTCTAGACCTAATCTGATAATCTAATAATTTGCGAATCAAAATAATTATGTAAGACTTTTAAATTGGTTACTAAATAGACTTTTTGTAACACTGTTCATCATGCTTGGTATTTCTACGTACCTGTTTTGATGGTTCAACAAAATTATTTTCAGATTTATATCTAATTTTTAGATACTTCATTGTTTTTCTGGGTGGAATTGTTTTTCTGGATAAAACTTGCTTGAATATTTTTATCGATGTGTGATACAGCAATGTAAAAAATAGTATGAGTGGTATTTGAGAATATCTTCTCCCATAATCAAAATATTTTTTTTAAATACGCATCTCCGATCGTTATATTTAAAAGTCTTGGATTTTTACTAGATAATAAAATTCCAATTTTTTTTTTACAGTTAATTGTCAAGAAATATTTCACAGTGGTGTGTTTAACTTAACTACCATTAGTACGAATTTGGTACGGCTACCATCTACCTTAGCGTAGCTTTCTAATCACACGAAACCTGCCTACGCCACTTGTCTACTGGCCCGCATAATAATACAAAGCTCCCTCAAAATTGAGGAACTCCAAACGACACACTTAATTGCGTGCATTTATCACAAAATGTTTGCACCACTTGTATAGGCCTCCTACGACGTATTTCTAGGTCTGTGCGACGCATGCTCTACTAACTGTAAAAGGCGACATTACATGCTGTCTTCACGCTAATATCAATCGAGGATCACAAAAAAAGAAAAAAAAAAGAAACGCAACATGGTCGGAGGAAAAAAACCTCGTCGGCTGAATACTCTTCTACAGCTCCCCTAAACGACCTTCCGTCGCAGGAAAAGTTACAACGAGATTTTCATGGAAGGGAGGATTTTTTTTTTTTTTTAGCAAAAAGTGGATTGGGAAACACGTTTAACTAAGTAGTCGTCGACAATCGGTGAGCACTTCAATCTTGCGAACAAACGAAAACGTGAAAAGAACAAAGAGAGAACAGACTGAATAAAACAGAAGAAGAAAAAGAGGGATGTGTATAGATAAAACAGACGGAGAAGACGAGAGAAGAACAGGCGGACCCTTAATTCCTACCTCCAGGGCGGGCGCTTTAGCCTGAAACACAAACGGCAAACCTGAAAAGAAATTCCGGAAGGATACCGGGCGACGGAAACTCGAGCTCGAGTTTTTACACGAAGGAATTAAGTCCTCGTTTTAAGCGAGTTAATTCCTCCCTTTCCCGATGCAAACGCGAAAGTTTGTACAATCGACGTTAGTGTGATCTACCATCCACTTTTTTTCTTTCATTGGTCCCCGTGATTATATGTCGTTGATTAATAATCATCCCTTTAAACAACTATAAAAGATGACAGGAGACAAATTAATATAAAGAAGGAGAAACAGGGACAAAGATGATGCAAAGGTGAAAGGAATAGTGTATGATGAAGATTGTATTTAGGCAACAAGATGCAACAAGATGCCGCGCAATCGAGAGATAATAGCAGAGGACTCTCGTATAAAGTGAATTTTATTTTGAGATTGTCCTAAAAAAAATCACAAATTAATCCGATAGTAAATTATACATAATGCAATGTTCGAAACGTTTAATATTAAAAAGTATAGCTTTTCAAAAATTGATTGTCTTCCTTTTTTTTCCTGTTAAAGGTTTCATTTGAAAAGATGTTTTTATTAATATACGTTAAAAAAATAATTGTATATTACTAAAAAATATGTAGCAGAAATTATTTTTTATATTGCTTTTTTGCTGAACGAATTTTAAATTTAATTTTATCGAAATATTTTGATTTTATTAATTTATTGAATATTTCTTTAATTTTCGATGTTTTTCACTCTAAACTAAATTTCTTATAAAAAACGATTTCTTAGTAATGCGATTCGAGTCAAAAGAATGAAGTGTTCGCCGTCGACAATCGTTTGTTATAGTTGTAGATATTATTCGACATTATTTTTCGACAAAAAGTTGTTTTCAAAGGGAAAGTCAACACATCGAATATAAAATCTATTCACACGGAAATGGTGTCAGAGAGACGGCATCATCGGAGCAAAAATAATCATCTCGATAGTTAACAGTGCTCGCCGCTTTCGATCAATCGTGCCGTTGGGATGCATCGGGATTTTTACGTGAATGAAACGAAAGAGAGAGAGAGACAGAAAGAGGAAAAGAGAACGAAACAGATTGGCGAAAAATGAGATACAATGAGAATGGCGAATGGTCGGGACAATGTAGAACGCGAGATAGGGATGGTGTAATTGTTATCGGTTTCTCTCTTTTGGCGTTCTCTCGTGTGTGCAAGCCTGGCAAAATGTGTGTCAACTAACGTCAGCTGTTGCTTGAGGCCATTCCAGCTAAACGGGTCCACCAAGAGATTACGGATTTTAGTCAAAATCTCTGCGCTCATTTGTCTCGTCTTATAGATACTGCGCCACATTCCGCTTCCGGTGCACGTGCGAATAAGCGTTTTCCGTTTGCGCTTTCGAGTGGGCCACGTTTATCATCGAGAATATTTCGGGCTTGCACAAAGTGGTTAACATCGCAACGATTGTGATATTACGAGCTTCTTACAGTTTCATGAATACTACACGATCATTGTGTGTGTTATACGATTATGAAAAATATTTTTATTTTATCGAGTTCAATTTTGCTTGTGATGACAATTATTTCTAGTCAATTTATTTTCAGAAAATAGAGATATAATTTTAATATGTAATAAAAAATTAATTTTTGAAAAGAAATTTCAGGAAAGAAAATAATCGCTGTTAAATCTGTAGTATCAAATTTTATTTAAGTCGCCACTGTTCAAACAATAGATAAATTTGGCATCATATAGTGTCGAATTTATCCATTGTTTTAATAAAAAATAATGATATATTAAGTAGGAGCAGTGGCAATTTAAATTAAGTTGACACTATAGATTTAATAGTAATAAATCTGATTTTTTTTTATTAATTACGCGAGTATAATTTTATTTCAATAATATATTTATGTTTAATTATTTAGATATTTAGAATTAGACAATTCGCTGACAAAGCTTTTGTTCCAAATATCACTAAAAAATTGTCTGTAGAAAGAAATTCATGAAAGAAATTAATCAAAGTTTTATCGAATCATGTATGGTTGATATACCACTACAAGCTTGCGTTCAATCACTTTGTTTGTGTCGATTCCATCGGCGATAATCTTCCGATTACTCGATTAATTGTGTCCGTTCTATGTCTTATCCGTAGCGCAACATAATGAAAACGCGTCAACGCTCGCGAGGGTTTGTTTTCCGATTAATAGCCGATTATCAGTCGGCGATCGCGACGTGATTGATTATCGCGCCGTTTCCATTTAACCACGCGCGTTCTTCGATTTAATTAAAAACTCGTTCGAGTACTTCGTGTCTCGGTGGCCGCAGCTCTCTCTGCGGTCGCGTGCACCGGAAGCGAGAAATAATTGTTCGCGGGAATTAGTAGAAATCGAGAAATGTCTCACCTGCAACCTGTAGTTGGGATCCTGCGTCGCTGCGTGAGCCGCGAGGAAGGGGTCGTAGTAAACGCTGCAAAAAATAAAAACCACCAATGAGTAATGAACGGTTTATCCGCTTGTCCGCCACTGCGCCCGTGGGGAGATTACTGAATTTCTGATTTTACCATTTTCTCTGTAAAGTATAATTAACGATACAATTCGCGCCATTAATTATTTTATTTAAGAAGATAAAATATCTTTCGTTTGTATACAAATGTCCCCTTGAAAAAAAAAAAAAAACGTATTTTGCAAATTCGACGTTTGCTCGTATTTTTCACACAAAATATTTATAAAGACTTTAATATTGAATACAATAGGGACATTCGGTTAAAAGCTGTCACTTTAAAAAACCTTTAATCTTCCGATTCAATAATGCACAACGCTCGTTTAATAGACGTCACATATTAAACATTGCGTTCGTTCGAGAATAAAATTGAAAATTTATTTCTGGGATACGATAATCCTCGCTTTGTAGGATAATGGAGGACGACAGAGGCGATAAACTTTGTCCTCCCCCGACTACGCGAACGAAGTTTGTTTTATGCGCGAAGATCATAAATTATGCCGAGGAAAAGGTTGATTGCTTTATATTGCATCCGCACAGTAGCATTCGCAATGGAATTAGTTTTACAAGTAGCTCGCTTCTATTATTATCTTCGTTGGGGGAGATCGTTGTTAAAAGTCTATTTAACTTGAGTAAGTAATAATCTTGTTTTAAAAGGCACGGAGAAAAAAAGTTTGTCGACTTTATGGAATGCGAATTCGTGGTTCGTTTTGACTGTACTCTGTCAGGAATGAAGAAAGTTACGAAAGCACTATTACAGCACATACGCATTTCGTAAAATGCGAGTGTAATTTCAGGAGTAAATTCAACGTACCGGTAATGATAAAAAAAAGTGCGCACAAACATTCGTCCTATGTTCAACTTTGTTTAAGATTCTTTAATATTACCTTCAGATTCTTGCAAAAATAAGTAATAAAAAACGATTATTATTTGAAATATATATGTCTGGCAAATGTTTATCGGAATAAAACTGTGCGCTACATATCTCTTGCCTTGTCAATATTGAATTCAGTAAAAATATACATACATTTCTACATCATAAATTTTCGTTAAGTGTAATCATTTATCGACAACATTTTGCATCCTTATATATTATGATTGCAAATATAAATTATTATCGAATTGTGTGTGTCGGAAACCATCGATTGCTTTTATAAAAAGAACAAATTTCCCAAAATGTCATGAAAGTATTCACAAGTAGACAATATAAGATATTTGAGGTCAGAAAAAAAAATGATAAACAACGAGGTCCAGTATATTTACTGAAACTATCGTAACTCAAAAACAAATCAGATAGGATAAATATATTTGTGTTTGAGCTATTTCTATCAACCATTTCCGTTATTTCTCTGTAAACAAAATTCATTCCTGAAATTATACGAACGTTTTACGAAATATAACTTTATATTGATTTTGAAAGAAACTTGTTTATGCTTGGTGTGACGTTGCACGAATTCGAGATAAAATATAAGTCATTTCCTTCTCTATAATCTACTTCAGGTTATAAATTAAACAACACGGGCTTTACATTAAAATTCATAACGAATGTATATACATATATATATATATATATATGTATATACACGCACACAATATATGTAGATATTGGACTTGACAAATCCGATTTCGCGGCAGGGGTGTGCATCGATGTAACAGGCTTCGAAGATTGATTTTCGTCCGTATTCAAATTTTTCATTCCTGCCAACGCCATGTCCAATTTCATAACGTTAAAATGAACGAACGATTGACGTTCGACGCGAATGCTTGCTCCTAAAAATTCGGAATGATAAAAAGTTAAAAAAAAAAAAAAAAGATAAAGTGTCTACATTCTACAACGATTTTTAATCTTCAACAAAAAAATGCGCGCGACATGACCGACAAACCGCGTTGATCCAACAGTCGCGTTTTAATCTTCTAATCAGTCAAAGAGCAATTGGATGAAATGAAATTTTTTTTTTTCCGGGTGTCACCTCTTTGATCATCCTCGGCAGAGAAGCAATCGAGCGTCCTCTGTTTTTCCGCTCGTTCAAAGTCCCCATTTAACGAAAAATGAGCGAGTCGCGGACGCTCTTTCGCAAACTATAATCCGCATTGTGCGCGGAGGGGGCGTTTGCAGGAAATAGGCTTGGGGAAGGTGCACATGCAGTGTGCAAACACATGTGAGATTGACAGGCAAAGCCTTAACGAGCGGCGCGTGCAAACTCATTGCAGCGAGTAATTTCCCCCAATTATTTTCGATGTTATTCGATGATCTTCGACGCACGATGAAGTGATGGAGTGTATATACTCAACGATACTCCCACATTCAGTCGCAATATAGTTTAAATGATCGTCATCGAACTGCGAGTTGAAGTTGTTTACACCAACAGTCATTGATATTTGCGGAAAATTAAATTTTCAATATGTGGCTAAAATTTAGAAAAAAAATTAAAAAGGGAATGTGATCCTTGATTATCGAAAATGTAATTAGTAGTTAAGAAAAAGTGAAAAGAATCCTTCAATCGGATTAGATGTAAATACAAAGTTTATTTATCGTAAATAGTATTAAAGATAAATAACATAATTAGTTGGAGAACGCGATTTAACGTTTGAATTCGCGAATTAAACTTCATTGCATGGAAGAACTAGTGGTATATAAATCACGCTAACTACGTAAGTACCGATCGTTAAGAAAAAGGCTATCGCGAAAAAGTCCTTCGAAACTCTAATGACGCACGCACCTCTTCCACACCCTGGCTACGTAAATTAATTATCGTCGTTACACCACGCGTCCGTTTTTATCGTTCAATGAACCTTCGCGAAAGTTTCGTAACAGGAAAGTATTTTCGAGGTGCGCTCTTGATTACTCGCTGCAAGAAAAAATTCACCAAGAAGAAAAAAGGATACGTACAAAAGATATCAAACAAGCTGCAGAATATAGATATTTTTTAAGATGATTGGTCCAGATCATATAGAAGTGTTCCTGTAGAGATATGTACTTTGTTAATGGCTTATCGGTGTTTTATTGAAAACGCATAACATGGAAAGAGTGTAGTGACAATTCGAATTATCACATCGCATGAAAAGAACGGTTTTGCTAAAATGTCTAAAAATTTAGCTAGATACAGATCTGAAAATATAATTTCGTTCGAACTATCAAAATAATTATGTAGAACGCTTAAAATAGTTATTAGAATGTCAAAACTTCTTGCAGTATTGACATCAACGCTTAAACGTTCTACATACAATTATTTTGATAATTCAATCAAATTTTCATATCTATCTAAATTTTTAGAACATCAGCAAAATCGTCCTTTCCGATATCTCCCATCGATTCGTAATTGTCTCAACTCTTTTGTCAAGGCATAATTTTTCACCTTTTCACTTTGGTGTTTCACAAGATTTCCGCAAAAAATATAAGTGAGAATGAGATAAAGACAAAACTGTCCTTTGTTGTCCGAAGGGATTCTTAAAACGTCATAATAAAATTTGCACAAAAAAAATAAATTTTTATTGTTTAAAAAATGATGTATAGGTACCCGAGTATTCATGCCTTGACGGAAGGGTTGAATTGTCGCAAAGTGATATAATTAAATTTAATTAAAAACGCCGATTAGAATGCCACTTAACAGAGTATTCTCCGAGTACAGGAATACCTCCATCCGGTTAGATGTCGGTTAGACGCAACCTGACCTGGACCGATACTTACGCGGGTGCAAAGGGATGTAGGGCCGTAGCCGCAGCTGCAGCTGCAAGTTGCCCCGGATTCCTGGCCAGTGCCAAGGCGGCTGCGCTGGTTGGGAAAGTCGCCCTCGCTGCTCCTACTCGGCCACGTTGTATGGCAACTCCTCTAAGTGCCGCAGCTGTAACAACACACACGCGACACGCGCGCACATGCACAATTACACAAGATTGCCTACCTTGAAGACTTATGTTGCTATCGAACACTCCGTAAGACTCCAGGTTGCCCCTCGAGGAACCGCGGCGCACATCGACAGCCGGCGAGACGAAGTTTGCGACTTGATTTTATATCCGGTTACGAGACTTGGGAACGATTGCCTGGGAATTAGCTCATCGAACATTTCATTGTTGCGAGAGAATTTGTGGAGTAATAATTTCTCGAACATCTAGGAAATTTTTATTCGCCGATCGATCAGCATATTCGACAAACTCGAACAAGCACAATATTAATGTGAGGTCGTTTTCTCTTTTTTTTTTTTCATTTGTGGGATATCGCGTCCTCATTATGTTGAATTTCAATAACAAATTTTTTGGTGAAATTCTAATTAATTTTTTCTTTTCAGAAATTTAATAAAAAAAAAGTCGTACTTTTTTATAATTTAAATATTCATAATTCGTATTAATTTATAAATTAATACGTAAATCTCATTTTTTAGATAATTAACTTAATCGTTTAATTAATTATATTAATAATTTAAAACATTTTTACAATGTAATAAATTGTACAAAATTGAAGTTCTTTAAACTTCTATTATTAAATCAATTCAAAATTAGCCAATATTGATGAAAATTTAATAATGAGGTGCGTATAAAATAAAAGAAAGGAAAGGGCAAACTGGCTGTAGTTGGAATAGAAGATCCTTCTTTTTAAAGAGCTTATAGCATAATGTAAAAAACAAGCACGATTCACCAACAAACGTATCTGACCCTGCCAGCGTAGAGAAAGCTTTCGATCTAAGAGAAGCTGCGGCACGAGCAGGAAATTTTGTTCTTCCTACCAAAGATTGGCTTTGGAGAATTGCGCCCGAAAAGTAAATACGAACATCAGAAAACACCGGAGAATCTTGCGGCGTAAGAAAAGAAAGGATGTGGCAGAGCGCAGAGAACTTCGGAAAATCGAAAATAGGAAAGTTCGCTTCCTCTACTCCGCTTGTATTTGACATTCAGGAATAGCTTGAAAGGAAAGAAACGACTACGAAACTTCACGAAACGAAATTCATCTAGAAGAAATGGTTGACTTTACGAGTAGATAGATTTTCGGTGCGTTTTATCGTTATTTGCGATCTATTCGCAAAGGGTCGCTACAATTTCCTTCAACAGATAACGTAAATAGGAGGACGATTTCCGCGAGTGGCAAAATTCACACGCCTTGAAGTGAAGCTTGCGTGATCGGTGTGAAATCCTCGAAGCTACGACGAAGAATGGTGTCAGAAGCTAGGTAGTCTGGTAGATTTCGATGACAATCGAGATTTCGCGAATTTGTCAAAATTAAACAAGAATAAGAAAATAAAAAGAAGAGGATTGCAACGTCAAATGTAAAGTTTAGGCAGCAGCTCTAGATCAATAATATAATTATTGTACAATATTAATGAGATGTATGGAGCCTATATTAAAAAACCTCCGACTAAGGGTTGTGACAAAATTTCTCACCCTAAAAATCCTTTCCTGATAAAATTTCGCAATTTTCCCTGAATCTCTCAGTAATATTTTAAAATTGTTTGCATTTTTGTTCTGATTTGGAAACCGTCATCAAATTTTATGGAAAGAATAACAGCAATATTAATTACTATTAATGTTGTTGACAGTGCTTGCATTTAATTGTTAATTGGTAGTATTCCAAAACTATGTAGGTATGCATATTAAATTTTTTTGAAGCCAAGAATTTTAATGCTCCTAAAAATTTTGAAAATTCCTTGACTTTTCCTTGATTTTTCTGTTTTCAATTATTCTGACATTTTCCTAATTTCCACTTTTGTGGTAATCTGCGATTGTTTGTTTCGAATTGTTTAAAGGGAGGGATTTTAGTAATATTGTACAAATTAATCATACAATAATATTGATTATACAATAATATTGTCGTGAGGCAGCTTAAGATGTGAAGTTGATGAGCCTGTTTTTTCATTTGGTCTCTATAGAGGTTTTCGAAAGGAATTTTTCCGATGGAGTTGAATAGACGGCGATGTGGATGTCACGACTCGATCCGTCCACATTGTGTAGCAGCTGCCGGTTGCATGATCGACGCCAGCCTTCGTAAGGGGAAGAAAGACCACGGATACGCGCAGTTCCGGAAGCTGACGATGCACAACGGTGGCTGCAGGGCTTTCTCGCTCGGTGATGCATTTCAGATTCGTGGTAGTGAGCTTTCGCTCGGTAAATTTCAATGAGATTGTGGAATATTAACCAATCCTTGTATTTCGAAGAGATGGAAAATAATCGAAACTCTATTATCAGCAATCTCGTAGATTGCAAAACGATGAAGAATTGCACTCGGAAGACGATAAAAAAAAGAACGAATAAAATAATGCTCCTTGATTTGAGATACTTATAGAATGAAAATATTACTTCTCCAGATAATAAAAAATGATTCTTAAAATTGCAGATATGAAAAGGATTAGGTCAAAGATGTTACAACGTCATTAGACCTAACTATCTATTATTAGATAAGAATGTCAATCTGCCAGAAAATAGATAATTTATCGAGCTATGATATGATGAATTACACTTCTGAGATATTTCTTAATTTACGTTTTGAGCATTAATAGATGATGTAATCGGAGGAATCATATAGGTAACCCTGATGGATGGATAGTGACTTTAATGAATTGCCGTTGTATTGACGGCAGTGACAAACGACGTTGAGTTATCGACATATCTGACAAGAAAAAAAAGTTGGGAAAACAAACGGCGCGATGAGAAGAATCCTTTTTATTTCCGGCTGGTCCAAGATGGGGCAATAAAATCTAACGATTCTGCCTACCTTTTCATCGGCACCAAGTCATCTCGTTCGGATCAGCTGCTGATGGATCGATTTAACAAGTGCTTTCTCATTTATATACATGGTTCACCTCAAAAAATTCACCTTGAAGAGAATAAAGTTTGTTAAAGAAATGAATCTTTTGATTTCTTAAAAAAAAATAAATGATATAAAAATTTTTGTATTGCAATCTACTTATATTTATACGTTACTGATTGTATAGTATACATATATTTAAAATAAAATCCATATTACTGAACAATGAAATTTTTCACTCAGAAAATTCAATCGTAAGTTGTAAATAAAATGTCGTCACATAAAATTATTTCTTGTACTTAAAAAAAAATAGAACAATCGTGAAAACATATCTCTTCAAAGTTCTGATAATCAAAATTACATCGAAAGTATAACAAACGTATGCACTGTTGTTAGACTAGTAGGTTCAATTACACGAGCAGCACATCAACAGCATCCTCAACAGACAACTACCTACTGTGCAGGTAACGCGCGTGATGTTAGCGCAAACCAAAATAACGAGTAAGTTAACGATCAACGACGAGGGGTTGGTTAATAGGTCGGCTTGATCGCCGGTTATCTAAAGGCGGGTCAAGAACAAGAGCGTGATACATAAAATAGCAGGCGCATTCCAAAAAGAGGAGGGTGGTTTGTGTGTAAGGGGCTGATGTTTACAACTGCATGAACTCCATTTTCCTACAGGCTCGCGTGATCTGTGGCACAGAAGTATAATTACTAACATTGCCGGCGTATAAATATGTACATTCTATGGATTTTAGTCGTATTTTCAATTATCAAAACACAGTTTTTAACTCGCGTCTACAAAATAATATTCTGCAAATTTTTTTATTTAAAAGAAATATTTTTTTTATTTTATTGTAAATAACTTTTTTGATAGTCTGTTACGTCAATTCTTCCGCGTCGATCTTCTGAAAATATCGATATAGTGCATTGCTGTCATTTTTTCATGCGATATAACAGTTTATCGCAATCCGTTTTCGAAATTCATGTTTTACTCTACATCAAAGTAAGCGAGGGACATATTTTTGAAAAAAGTGTTCGTACACACGACACTAACATTTCGAGAATGCAACACGCGCGACGACCGACCATTCGATTCATTCCGGATATGAATTTAAAAGCCAACCATGCTGAACGCGATTGCTGTCTTCGGCCAAATTTTACGAGTGCGCGTGACACGCCAATTAGCGGCTATTAATTAATCGACTGTGCACGCTGTGGCAGATCGTCCGACACGCCGCGCCGCGCCGGGCTGGTCCGGTCCGGTTCGGAGAAAACCCAAATTTATGGAAATACGGTCCGGCGATAACACGATCCGACGAAGAGTAGAGAGATTACACTCGCGAACAATGAAAAAGTTAAATGCGCCATCGCCATTCTTTAATTAGCCTGCTTGGCCTTTATTCGAAATCGTACACGTTACGTTAGTGCCATCAATAATTTTTGCGATAACGAAAGTTTCCCGTTACGAACCGCACGTTGTAAATTCCGTGCAAACAAATGGACTTTTCGTCGGCACGCAAATTTAATTGAAAACCAATGAGCTTACGAATTAAATATTAACCCATCAGCTGCCGCGAAGTAAAATGTTTCCATCTCGTATGTATTTCGATTCATTTACATTTGCGCGCGTGATCATAAATATATAAAAGCAAATTGTTACACGACATAAATAAATTTTTCATGGCTCGATAGAAATTGCGTAATTTTTTAAAATGCATTATTGTGACCTTCTTAAAAACAACTTTAATTATTAGAAAAATGTTTTAATTATTATAATTTAATTATTAAAAACACGATTTAATTTAATATTACTATATTCTTATAATTTTAATTTTCTTTTACATTAACACATTATTGTAATATTCATATCGAAAACTAATAATTTGTTGTCGATTTTATCACATATTAAATTCGCTTTAAAATGTAGTTATAAGAAATGTTAGTAGAAATCCATGCGATTATTTCCGGCCACAGATCGACCGCCGCCGAGAGCTCCCTAAACATCCAATCGAGTTTGACTAATTAGGCGGAAAACATCGATATATAATGCGTGCCCTGAAGAAAGAAACGATATACACATATTATATATACACATGTATAATAGAGGAA